TCCTCCTCCTCCTCGTCGCCGGGATTGAGGCCAATCCGGCGGGACTCCTGATCCAACTAGGGCTACTAGCCAGCCAACCAACCCCAAGTGGTGTCCCACTCGAGCCTCTAACTTCGATGTCACTATCTCATTTTCGGACTGCTAGCAAGCCCAAAACCTGTTTGGCGTGTGCTTCAGTACATTTAGATTGACAGACATTGCCTTTGAGGACCCTATGTAGAAGTAGACAAGAATATTCGAGTACGAATAGATCTCTTACTTCAAAATAGCGAGTAATATATTTATATTCGAAAATTGATTCCATTACTGCGATTCAAGCACAGTCAACCTGCAGGATCAAAGGTTACATATAGCAAATAATAGATACCGGCGATGTCTGTAGGTATGATTTGGACGCATCTGCTGCCGAGAGAATGACTAGATCCAACTGATGGTGCATTGGTTGGAGTTTTTTGATCTATCCAACTTGCTGATGTCACAGTTCGCAGGACCCACGCCTCATTGAGTCATGTTATCGGGCAGATGTTGCCTTCGTTCCTACTTCTTACGCAACATGCCCATTCGCTTTATATGCCGCCCCACAAATAGGCGCTCATCCCCTGCTGTGTATAAGTTTCCTTACTGATAGTGTGGCCTTTGTTCATTGTACGCGCAGCATGTCCACCTCAGTCCTCCCTTACAAAGCCATTTTGGCATGGGCATCTCTTAATTCCTTTTTCGAAATAAAAAGGTACTATGCATTACGCAGGTGTGCACTTGGCAAGAAAGGAATTTTTGCGTGGCCCTTGTATCGTATGGTCCTGACAGTGCCAGCCAGTTTCAACAAAAGTCGTTTGATCCTGCATTCCGTCGGCTGAAGTGGTCATCGCTCATGTTTCCTTTTCAGTGTGAAGTCGCCTCATGACGTTCTTCGTGTTTTTATTTCGCAAGACGTCTGTGGACTGCTCTTCGTCAAAAAATATTACCTTTCATTAAATTCTTGACCTAGACCATCCGAACGTGAAACATTGACAACAGTAGCAGTCATGCCGTGCCTACTCACATTTAATCTATTATGCATTGCTACTTAAACAGAGCCAGTAGTCACTGTATGTGTTATACGTTCCGTCTTCTTTTTGCCAGGCTCTATGCCACAAAGTGCGCTACCTGCAAGCAACCGATGCTGAGTCACGAACTGTGCATGCGCACACGCGACCCCTCCGCGGGTGACAACGCAGATGCCGCCGGATTGGTTCATCATGTCTCCTGCTTCGTCTGCTCCATCTGTTCCCTTCCGCTGGCAGCCGGTGAGCCCTATACCTACCATCCCACCACCGGGGCGCTAGTCTGCAAAGCCGACTTCCTCCGTGGCCTGACT